AAGTAGTTTGAAGAGCTAATGAATGAAGAAAATGAGAGAGAGGAGGACAGTTTAGTAAGGAGGAAGTGATGGCAGCTGTGAGCTAAGAGTGGACTCTTGGAGAGTGAGAGGATGCCTGAGGAATGAAAAGAAGAGTAGTGATTTTCAAGAACAAGCGTGATGTGCAGAGCTGTAGTGACAACAGAGGGATAGAGTTGTTAAGACATATCATGAAGATATGGGAAAGAGTTTAAGCTTTGTTTGGGAAACGGGGTGATGATTGGTGAGCAGCAGTGTGGCTCATGTCTAGAACGACCTCTACAGATGTACCGTTTGCTTTGAGAGTGTTAATGGAGAAATATAGAGAAGGCCAGAAGGAAGTGTAGTGTGTCTCTGCTGATCTAGAGAAAACACACGAATGAGGTACTGTAAAATATTTAACCAAAAGCACAAGTTAGTTTCATGACATCATACTTTGTATAAACACACTTTTTTTTGTCTACTAGAGATGAACTATCCAAACCAACTCTGGCCTTGGAGTACACTTTTGGCAGACGAGCACGAGGACACAACACAGTAAGTAAATCCTTCTAGTCTTGGAGACTTTGCTTTAGTCTCTTAAAAATGAGAAGACAAATGTGGTTATACACCTTATGCTGTATATGTTTTTATTTGCGTTAGTAGGAAGGAACTTCCTTCCAGTATTTCAGCACACTGACCACATTAGAGAGTACGTTTAGTATACTTATGTGGCAGGATGTGCTCATTATGCAAGTAAATATTTTAGTTCTTGGTATTAAATGCTGCTGAAATGTGGAACAAGCCATAGAGGGTTAGGGTTGCACTGGATGTTTATGTAACTTCAAGATAAAACTGTTATATACTTCTTTCAGCCTAAAGACATAGCCCACCTATGGGAGCTGGGAGGAGGGACCTCTTTGTCAGACCTCGTCCAGATCCCCATCACTCCTGTCACCATCAGGTAGGTCTCTTACAAACGTCCTGCTTTTGAATAGGGGTCAGTATTTGACACATTCACAGTGTGAATTATGTTATTTATCTTTTCTGTTCAGATTATTATTTGTATCTTTAAAATCTGAATCTTCTGAACAGCAATGTCATGCCAGTAGAGAAGAAGAATGTTTTCTTGGTCTGGACCTCAGAGGAAAACCATCTTTCCTTTCCTGTCTTGTTCAGCTGTCTCTCAGTCATCCTCGTCCTGGACCTGTCTAAACCCAACGCTCTGTGGGGAACAATGGAGAAGCTACTGCAGGCTGCACAGGCTCACCTAGAGAGAACCTCCTCCCAAGTACCGAAATCCAAACCCGGAGTCAAACACCAAACTCCCAGCCACTCAGCAGCACGTGTCTTACCTAAAGACTATCCTGTAAGACCTCGTCTCATTACACACACAATTTTATAGCTGTGCTACAATTTCTAAATCCACGACTCAAAGGAACTCAACATGTGAGATGAAGCAAATTTCTTTAACCATTTATTATCTAATAATTCTAATATTGTTAGGCTAAATTAATGTAACCAAGAACAGAATCACAAGTAACTTCCATCTCAGCTAATACATAATAGACTGTAAAAAGCACTGAGGGAAAAGGCAGCTCTGCCTCCTCAGGGTTTATGTTGATACAGGTGAGCCTCTACAGTCGATCAGCACAAGGGATGCAGCACAAAGAGACTACAGATTAATAAGGATGATAAAAAAACAGTTATCAATGGGTAAATGTGCTGGTGCACTGAGGCATCCGTAACAAGTTGCATATTTAAAGTGTCTACATGAACTATTCATGCCTCTGGCTTTTTAAACACTCAAATGTCACAAAGTAACATGTGCATCGACCTGACAAATGCAACCAAGATGGTGAAAATAGATATTTTATTGTCAGAGGGAACAAAAAGCAAATCTCAACTAAAAGTGTAAAAGTGTGTAAGGCTGGTGCTGTTTCCAGAGTTAACTGTGATTCTGTCAGCAGGACAGAGAGTTGATCAGTCCCTTTCCTGTTCCTCTGCTCATCGTCGGCAGCAAGTACGACATCTTCCAGGTAAAACACACTATTTGTACTCTTTTTAAATGATTTATTAAAAAAAGACACGTACACAGAATTATTATTAGATCATAAATTTCAGTAATATTTGTATATAAGATTTCCAGTTCTCCCATCTGCTTTTCAGGAATTTGACTCTGACAAGAAGAAAGTTGTCAGTAAAACACTGCGTTTTATTGCTCATTACTACGCGGCCTCTCTCGTTGTAAGAATGTTTTTAATGCTCCTGCAGCACATTTGTATTTAACAAATAATTTTGCACTTTTTCATATATTTCTTATAGTTTGCTGTCTCTAACCACCGCTTTGTATTTGTGTTTGTGTCTCCTAATGCTTTGATTAGTTCACTAGCATCAAATCAGAGAGCCTTATATCAAAAACCAAAGGCTTCTTCTTGCACCTGGCTTTCGGTTTGGAGAGAGGGTGAGGAGGATAAAGCAACATTGAACACAAAGCAGTAATGGGCATGGGCTTTCATTTTAGATTATAGTTTCAATAGAGTTACTTTAATGTTACCGCTAATGCTTGATAATACTAGATTTCACAGTCTCATTGCAGATTTATTTACATTTTTGTACTGTATAAAAATTGTATGATATAGAACAGGTTTTTAGGAGCTTAGGATATTCACTTTAGTTATATAATCATGTGATGGGACAGCTCCAGATAGATATACACACTCAGAAGTCTAGAATCTTTACCTTTGTTTAAGATGGAGCTATTAGATATTGCATTTAAAGGAGCATGGCTGCTACTTACAAACAACTGTCATTGTTTCTTGAAGGGAAAATGTGTGTTGCTCTCATTGAGTATTTAATAATAAAAAAAAAAAAGCAAAATGCTGTCTATGTTAGGGGTCTGTTGGTTAATGTTTTAGCTGTAATACTGTTTTTCTTGTTCTTTTTTTCTGTAATCAGGAAAACTGTTTCCTCTGACCCCCTCAAGCCGCTCATCATTCCGGCAGGCTCTGATTCCTTCGGTCAAATAGGTGAGCACAGCGCCCCCCAGTAGCCAAAAGTAGAAATGTCTTCAAGTTTTGAATAAACTACAAAACTCTGTGATGAAACAAAGCATCTCCTTTAAATCCACCCTCCTTTATTTAACATTTGGTGTGATATTTTATTTAAAATCTGTTAATATAGGTTCCCCACCTACTGTCGATGTGGATATTACGTCTCTCCATGCTAAAAATCCAAAAGACCTCTGGAAGAAAGTGTATGAGCGTGTCTTCCCCCCAGAGGTAGTTAAGCTTCTGGCAACATGTTTGTCTTCTGCAAAATCCAACTTATGTAGACAAACTACTTTTTCTTTTGCGTGATTTAAAAGCATCTGTTCATCTAACCAACTTTGTCATTGCAGAGTACAAATGAGCAGAGAGAGCTAAAAGATCCAGCCAAAGATCCCCAGTACAGTGAGCCTCAGATTGATGCCATGAGAGCCCAGAAAGACCAGGTAATACATTATATACGTGTTTGCATTGCTTTTATTTTGACAGACCTACTGCAGTCAAGTCTCTTGACTCATGAGTTGGCAGTACGGTGGTTAATCAGTGGTAATCAGAATTCCCATTCACTTATCTCAGATTCGTGACCCTGACTTTTGTCCTCCTTCTGAGGGGTAGCAAGTATTTAGGAAGATGATAAATCACTAAAGCATTTAACGCAAAATGAAGAAGATAAGTTTCTGTGACATAGCACAGTTTCATTTGATAAAGAGATTAGACATAATGGCAGCCCAGATAAAAGAGGCTGTTAAGATATGTGTGTTTATGAAATAATAACCCTGCTTAAAATGACAAGCTCGTGGGATACAAAGTTACAAAAGCTAATTAATATGTATTATATTAATAGTCAGAATAAAAATATATTGTATATCTCTTTTTTTAAACACTATTAAGGGCAGTCTGAAATTGCAAGGTTGAAATGACAGAAGGACTTCAGTCTCTGGATCCAAAGTAACCCTTTGTCCTTCAGTAGTCTGTTTCTAGTAGTGATTCTGTCTTGAAATGAACAGGCTGTAGCTTTATATCCTGTGGTGATAAACTTAGAGATTAGCTGTCTTCATTCCTGCCTGCAATAGTGCCACTCTGGAACTTGAACTGCAATAACCCGATGGAGTCACAAACCCGAATCACCGGCTGTTATCGCTGACTGACTTTCACCTGGCGCTCGTCGTTTCACTCAGCCATTGTGTGGTCTGAGAACTCAATAGAAAAACAGGCTAAAGGTTAATTCCAAATAAGTCTTGAGAAACTCCTTTCTAGACAGCACCCTCTAGTCTGGATTAAAAGGAATCTCAGCAGATCATGGTAGTCAGAAATGACCTCTTTATTTGAGAGACAACACAATGAATTTAGAGATAGGTTTGCGAAGTAAAAATGTATAAATGCATAGTTAAGTACGAATACAAATAAAGACCAATCTTAAGAGTTTTAAGCTAATTAACTATAGTTCTATTTTCCCCTAGTTAATGTGTATTTGTTGTAGTTTAGTGGCTTCAGTGTCTTGTGGTTATTTACACTGATATAAAAAAAAGAAGGTTTCACAGTACTGCTCTGAGGTGTGAGCGCCTCTGTAGACGTAGAGGTTTTGGCATTTTCAAAGTGTGGAGCATTCAGGTGTGTGCCAGTCGTCCCTGGAGTCGAACAAGGTCAGACGTGCAATGTTCAGCTGGAAAAAACCAGAGGGCTGCATCTCAAACTTGATACGCCAAAGTTGGCATGTTATATGTTAAAATTTATAACAGTAAAATTAGAACAAAATTGAAAACCTTGAAAACCTTTCTTCATCTGCATCATCAGATTGAGTATTTCTTCACAGTAGCGTGTGTTTTGCATTTACCTGCACTGTTTTGATTTTCTTGCATTGCCTCAGTAATATGTGAAAAGTGTTATATCTGTCTGTTTTTCAGGAGTTGGAGCAGTATAAAAGGAATGCAGCGAAATCATGGAAAGGTCTAGAGCTGGAGACATGAGATATCTTCTGCTTTATTACACACATACAACATGTTATAATGTACATAGGGTATATATATTCTATTTGTTTACTTTTGTATTATATTTTCTGTTGTACTTTTCTATAATTACATAAATAAATGCTGAGATTTTAATCAAGAAAAATATAGTTTTAGCTTACCAATAATAATGTTTGTTCTTCCAAACAAAGCAAACAAATTTATGTTTTTTTTTCTTCCCGGCCATCAGTGGTTCTAGGATTAAGGTTACCACAAGAAAACTGTACATGCCATAAACATGCTCGTTTTTCAGGTAACATGTTTCGAATAGTTTACAGAACATCTGCAGATGTTTAAGTGTTTTAATGTGCATGGCTTCATCCCAGTGAACAGAGATAAACCGTGCTGTACTACATTGTGTGCATCAAGTGTAAACATTTAAACTTATAAGTGCTTATACTACCACTTTATTAGGTACACCTGTTAAAGTGCTTTAAATGTTTAATCTGATAATCACGTGGTAACAATGTAAGACATTGAAATTCAAAGCGTGCATTTGAAAGAAAGAGGATTTAAGTGACTTTGATCATGACATAGTTGTTGGTGCCAGATAGGCAGGTCGAAGCGTTTCTAAAACTGCTGATCTACTAGGATTTTCCTGTGCAACCATCTCTTGGGTTTAAGGAGAATGTTCTGAAAAAGAAAATATGGCTTTTTGATTGTCAGAATGCCTCAAACTGATAGGAAAGCAACAGTAACTCAAAAAGCGCTCGTTATGATAAGCAGAAGTGCATCTCTGAATGCATAACACGTCAAACCTTGAAGCAGTTGGGCTTCAGTGGCGTCATGTGCCACTCCAGTCAGCTTATAAAAGAGAAACCGAGGGTACAAATCACATAAACTCACCAAAAGTCTGGATTTCTGCTATGACATTTGCATGGTAGGGTCAACATTTGGCATAATCAGCAACAAAAACTAAACATGAATCCTGTCTTATATCAGTGGTTGAGTTTGTTGGTGGTGGTGTAATTTATTTTCCTAGCACACTTTGGGCTGCTACCAGGTGGCCATCATTTAAACAGTCTGTTGAGTATTGCTGAAAATGTCCATCCCTTCATTATCGAGAAAGCAAAAAGGGTACGGTGTACCTAATACAGTGGTGGGTGTAGGTCATCTCTGAATAGTGAATTTCATAACATAAATGCTTTATAAGCTTAACTTAAAAAGAAGATTTTACCCACAAAGCCGTGTTTGTGGGCTTAATGACGCACAACCTTGTCCCTGATCTTAAAGCTAATTATGCCCAGCAGCAGCAGAGCAGGCAGGAAAGCGTAGAGGAGAACAAAGTATAGTGTGTATCGGGACAATGCGCCAGGATAACCCTCCTCAATGATCTGATTGCCATGGGTGACCACACAAGCTCCCGGCAAAGATGTGGAATTATCTATAATCACAAAAACACAAAAAAGTGTTAAGAGATTTCATCTTCTGAAAGTGCCTTTTAGTCTAAATGACTGTAAGTGCTGCTGAGTGACTTTGACCACTAATCCTGAACCCATCCTTTATAAATCAGTCTTAAAAGGACCAATAGCAGAAAGATCAAATGTAAGACAGATAATTGAAATCAGTTATTTCTAATGATCTTTCCTGCTTTATCCTCTACACTACTCGCAGAATCACTGAGGATATTGGCCAATGCCAGTGTTCTTAGTAATACAATGTAAATGAACAAAATAGCATTCCCTCTAGAATAGGATGATCCCATGTTAAAAATGAACTTACTGCATGTGAACTGGAGACCATGAAACTCTGTGACTATGAGCAGCTCACAGCTGTACTTCTGGAAAGTCAGGTAACTGAGCCACTGAAAGACCTGTGGCATCTGCTGGGTGCTCCTGTTGCAAAGAAGAGGAGAGGAAAGCAAGCATATGTCCTGAGAGTTAGCATTATTATACCTTCATTTTCAATAAATTCTAAATCAGTTTTGTAATCATAAAGTTAAGCATATTTGGGATTTTACCTTAGAAAGCCAGATCCCACCACTATCCCTGCAATATTGAGTAGAGCCACTCCAGTGTTGACCATGTTAGGGTCTTGGACCACACCTAGTAGCACCACAGTCAGCAACTCACCTGATGAGAGTGGAAAAAAACAAACAAACTTATGAATTTGTGCAGCTAAAAGATAAAGAAAGTGGAAACATGGCTATTAAATGCATTTAACCCATTTGTGCCCCCCAAAATAGCACTTTACCCTTGGCTCACCTATAACATGGGGCACCAGAACTACAGCAGTGAAACACAGGAAGCGCAAACCTTCCGGATGCATCCCTACTGTCCTGAGAGCAAAGCAAGGCAGATACAAACACGCAGGAGAGACATTGATGACTATGAAACCTAAATCCTTGAGTGGATGAATGTGCTTCTTCCTCCGCCAACACAAAAACACATCAAGTTTATGACCAACCAGTAAAGGAAGGAGGTGAAGATGAAGACACTCAGGATGCTGAGGGGCAGGATGTGGAAGATGTAGGCCAAGAACATTTGCCATTTAGTGTAGAGTCCATCCTGACTCTCCTGATCACCGATGGCTCGCAATGCTGGGACTGTGAGTATAAAAACAGAAGGGGTGCAAAAAAAGATAAAAGTGACTTCTGGTCCATTCCATATAAAATCAACCAAATCTGGAAAAAAAACAAACAAACCTTTATTTTTTTAAAGAATAACTTTAATATATTTAATAGATATAAATAAGATAAACGAATACTGTCAAATACTGATGCCTGCCAAATCTGAGACTGATTATTCAAGGAATATGATAATGCTGAGCGATTGTGCACATGTATGTATAAAAGGCTTAATGTTGTTTTGATTGCAGTTTTTAAATCTGCATTAAACTTGGAAAAATATGATGATTTCAAGAGTGCAAAACCCAGAAAAATTTCTTAAGTGGAGTTTTACCTTTTTCATATTTCATTCAGTTCCAGTATTTTAAAATCTGCATATTATAATGAACAGTCCATTCTGTTCTATTGTCTCATAACTGAAAGCATGCATATGAAAACAAAATATATCAAAAGGACTTTCCTTTAATTTCCCCCGTAACAGGATGATGCCGATTATGGATTTTTGCAATCGCTCCATATTTCAGGTGTTCTTGGTTTTATGCCAAGAATTTACCAAGACAACTTGATGGGCCTGTTTCTTTAAAAAAAAAAAAAAAGCTTTTCATTGAATCCTATCAGTTGTTATCTCTGAGACTGAAGGTCACAATGATATCCCCAAGCACAACCTCTGATTGTTTGGGTGTTTACAGAGGCTGACTTCAGCTCAGCCCAATCGTTTATCACATCTATTCTCCTCAGTGTCTGTGAGGGCTGGAGACCTGAAGCTAAGATTTTAGACTATGTTGATACAGTCATAGGAAAGAGAAAGTATACTCTCTTAGGTTTTATATATCAAGACATAATAAAAATCATCTGGTCCTCCAAATTAGGTAAATACAAGCACAGATTAAAAACAACAGATGACATATTGCACCATGTTATTATTAACTAAACCAAAATGTAGAAGCAGTACATGAAAAACTGAGTACATCTTTACTACTGCCAAAGGAATTAAGGAGGTAAGTAGCGGGTAGGTGCTGATAATCAAATGCACACAGTTAATTAAACATCAGCATGTCCAATCATCCCTATCTATGCCAAACAATAAAGATGAAGAAGATATAATCTTTAAGAAGTAATTATTATAGGCTTATAAAGACATCATTCTACAGTGAGAAAGAGTTCAAAACAGTTGGCAGGAGTGGACGTCGGAGCAAATTTACTTTCTATGCTCATGGAAACTGCAAAAAACCCCACAGACTCTACTGAGCCCGGTTAGCATAAAATAGTTAAAAGTTTACGTTCAAGACAGCACACACACACACACACAAAACACACAAGAAAAGTAGACTTGCTCTCCGATGCATCCATCGGAGTATGAATGTGTGTGTGAATGTTACTTAGAAAGCACTTAGAAAAATGTGCTTGTGCGAATGGGTGTGAATGGGTGAATGTACAAGTTGTGTACAGCGCTTTGAGTGCTCAGAAAGAGTAGAAAAGCGCTATATAAGAACCAGTCCATTTACCATTTACCAAATCTCTTCTCTCTACATGGCAGCACAGTGTACTGTAGGTTTAAAGTTGCAGCTGAAGACATCACGAGACATCTGGAACAATGTCCTTTGTGGAGATGTTTGGCTGTAAGGCACAGTGTCACATTCTGAGAAATCCGAACACAACATATCCACACAAACACCTATTAACTGTCAGCTGTGGGAGTGGAGGGCATTTGATTTGGTTTGAGTCAGACTGACAGTCTTACAGCTACAGCTTGGCTAACAGGATAACAGGACAATGATCCCAAAGCTCAGCAGCAAATCTCCAAGAGAATGGCTCTCTAGAGACAAATGCCTGCAAACCTCAATGAACTGAAGCAATGCTGTAAAGAAGAGTGTTCAAAAATCCCTCCATGTGAGATACTGATGTAGTAAGACTGCTAAAGGTGGTTTTACAAGCTATTGAATCATGGTGTACTCAATTTTTCACAAAGTGCTTCTGCTTTCTGGCCTATATGATGACACTGTGTGATATGTCAAGTGTTGTTTTTCATCTGAGGTTCATCTCTACCTGTCAGATCTGGCAAGAACTGGAACATTTTTATTATGTTTTGATAAAACCTTGTAAATGACAAAGGGTGTGACCGACAGTAAGGAAATACAGCCAAGATGATTCATTCATCCATTCCTATCACTGAAACACACATTCCAATAGAGCCTTTTTGGAAATAGTTGTATTTTATTTTGTCTATTGATTGTTGTCCTTTTCTTAACCTTACTTTTTCACTCATTAAATAAGTCTCCCAGATATTGAACAAAGCCACTAACGACCAAATTATTTGTTAAACCACAAATAAAAATCATAAATCTCTCTGACATTAAAAATAAAGTGGGTTAAAAGGCAGTCACAAGTCCTCTATAAAAGACACTGCTGTGGTTGTAGTTTATAAAATGCTGACAGGAGACTTAGTGCAGATTTTTCTCTCCCTGTATTTGATGTTATCTTAAGTCAAAGCACGCAATATAAAAAAAACCCCATAAAACTGTTAATCATGGAAATCTATGTGCACACAATATTGTACTGTATCGTATGTTCTCTAGGTTTGTAGGTAAAAGGGCACTCGGGCTCATTGAGCTCTGAAGAGATTAAAGGTCATGAACACCCAATGATCATTTCAAATATGTAAACTGAAGGATCTCCTCAGCAACTAAACTATCACTTCATGGACGGTCTTCTAATGGACATTTTTTCTTTCATGTATTCTTATCTCCAATAGTCTACATACCTTTAGCATCCAAGATTAAGCTAGACTTTACACAGTTTTGCCAAAGGTGACAAAAGTCAGTAAGAAATTAAAGTGATTTTACAACTGAATCAGGGGGAAGTGGCCTCACACACAGCTGCGATAAACATGCTTCATATCCATTTCTCAGAACTAACAAGTATCCACCTCATGTGGATTAAGCGTTGTTAGAAACATGCACAGAGATGTGCTGTAACGTCACATAGTTTAAGTGAATGTATGGACAACAAAGTCGACATTCATATTTTGTCTTTTGTCTTGTCTAATTGTTATTTTCAGCATTTTATACAGTTAAGTCCATACATTTTCAAACAGTGATGCATTTTTTTGTGATTTTGTTTCGGTACACCACCACAGTGGTCAAACAGTGCAATTCAGTCAAGATGTCATTGAAGTGCAGATATTCAGCTTTAATTTAAGGGTTTGAACAAGAGTATTGCATTTAGCTGATTAGGAATTAAAGTCAATTTGAGATATTTTCAGAAGTTCAAAATTAATTGATACCTAATCCCTTTCTGTGTGTGTTTTTTCCATAAGCGGATAAAGGAATCTGGAGTTGATTCCAAGTGTTGAAACTGCATTTATTAGCTCTTCATTGGATCTGTCTGTCCAAGAGAATAAAGCCAACATTGTCCTGAAATGAGAGTCAGTACTAGCTTCTGAGTTATGTTTTAATTTAGTCTTTGAATAAGAAAAAATCACGTTTTCAAGTTATTGACTCAAAGTTTTTATCCAGCTTCCTCTTTTCTTTATAAAACTGTCAGGCAGCATCCTGGTGTTTGGGACGTGCAAATGTAAATGTACTAATTCATCCTGGTGAACAGATGTTTGGTGTTGGCGGAACTCACAGAGAGCGACGGCGTTCAGCATGCCCGTGTATGGTGAAGCACCGATGCTCTGATAGATTATGCCGATGCGGTCCTGCACAGCACCCTTAGTGACGTCGATGTCTAAATGTATGACGAAGAAGGCCACAAACAGACCATAAATCAGGTTCTGGGATAGACGCATCAGAACACCCATCCTGTCTCTGGACAGGTTTCT